TACCATAAACTAGCTAGCTCCGGTCAGGGTTCGTGAGGAGCAAACAACAATCAGAACAACATCAAAATAAGAGAGAAAGATAAGTAGAAAGAACTGAAAAGGGATCTCGTACCTAGCTCCGGTCAGGGTTCGTGAGGAGAAAGGGAACCCGACGTGGAGCCAGATGATTCATCTAAACTATGTAGTGTGACCTATGTAAAGCCATGATGTAATAACCCTTACATCCCTCCCCTTCTAAAAAAATTTGACCCATATATCTATATATAATCCTTCACCGATGTAACCGCTTCATTCATAAGTAACCATGTAAAAAGGAAAAGAAAAAAGGAAAAAAGTGGCATAACTCGCCCCTAAAAGTTGATTTTCGCTGCCAAGAAAGAGAAAGAGATAGAGAAAAAAATTAAAGAAACTAAAGAAAATTAAAAAAAAAGGAAAAGTGAAATCGTGAAATGATGAGGTGAGGTTGAATTGTGATGTGAGTATGAAAGTCTTGAAGCGTCTTGAAGTGAACATGAAGGTAAGCTTGCGTCTCGCTGTCGTCTCGAATTTTCATGCTGAAAATAAAACACAGAGGTCGTTGCGGTGCTCACATATGTGGCCAAGGTGTTGTTTTTTACTTGATTTTCGAGATGGGGGAAAGGCGTAGTAGCTCCGGCGGTGCATACTAAGTGGGTGGAACTTACTTTCGTATTCCTGTCTCTCGCACTCCTGACCTCCCATCCGCCTCTTGTTCCGCGTGTCGATATTTCTTCAACTTGGAGATGTGAAAAACTGGGTGGGAGTTGTCATTGATCGATAGCTTCAACCTGAAGTTCCGTCCGTTGTTCAGACACTCTGTGACTTGGTACGGGCCGTCGTAGCGCGGTCGTAGCTTGCTTGTTGGTTTGCCTCGACCCCCTACTACCTGTTGTCTATCCTTACTGTCCACTAGCACCCAGTCCCCTTTGACAAGTTGGTCGCCCGTCTTCCGTCAATTGTTGTAGTGGACTGCTTGGTCGATGCGACTGGTCCAGAGTTTGTCGCGGAACTCGGCCCAGGCCGATTGGCGTCGAGTGATCCACTCAGCGACTTCGGGTGTTGATGTGGGATCCAGAGTTGTCGGGAACAGGCGCGGTTTCTTGCCGTACACGAACTCGAATGGAGAAACCCCTGTGGCTACGTTAACTGCCGAATTGATGGCGTATTCCACCACTGGTAAGCTTTCGAACCATTTCCCATGCTTAGTTTCCACGAGTTGTCTTAGGATTTGTACGATTGTTTTGTTAGATTTCTCGCTTCGTCTGTTGCTCTGGGGGTGATAAGCAGTTGTCAGGTTTATCTTGATGTTCAATAGTCGGTGTAACTCTTGCCAAAACTTGGAGGTCCATAGTTTGTCTCGATCTCCTATCATACTTCTAGGTGAGCCAAAGATTGCTAACCAAGAGGCGAAGACTCGTTGCGCGGTTCTTTCGGCAGTGTCCGTTTGGCACGTAGGGATCGCTCGAATGAAGCCGGTTAGCCAACATGTGATTGATAGTAGCATATCGTAGCCTCGCACTTTTGGGAACGGGCCTACAAAGTCCAGCGAGATATCCTCCATCGGTTGACGAGGCAGCTCTGTTGACTGTAATCTCCCTGACGGTAGAGATGTACTCCCTTTCGTTCGCTGGCATCCGTCGCAACTGGCTATGAACCGCTTGACGTCTTTTGCCATATCAGGCCAAAAGAATTCGTTTCGTAGTTGTAGCAGTGTCTTTAGAGTACCTAGGTGGCCAAGGGCATGGTGTGTTTGTTCAATCATTTGATGTCGTAGATTGCTTACGTCGGGTATGACTAGTCGATTGTCCACAAACATCAGGCCTTCTTTGTTTTCGGTTCCTTGTCGAAGGGGTAGCGTCGTTGATAGCCGTGAACAGAAAGTGTCAATTGGGTAGCCGTTTTTAATCTCTGATATAAGGTTGTTACTCAGCTTGCTACGGATCTCACAGCTTGCTACCTCTTCCACGCGCGACAATGCATCCACAATCGTGTTGTCATCTCCTTTCAGGTATTTGAAGTTGAGGTCGAACTGCGATAACGTCTCGAGCCACCTGGCTTGTTGTCGGCTGATGTTGCGCTGGGTTAGGAGGTGAGTCAGGGAGTGGTGATCTGACATCACGTTGATCTTCAGTCCGAGTAACAGCATTTTCCATTTTTGTAGAGCATTGACTACTGCTAACAGCTCTTGTTCGTGGACGGGGTAATTTCGCTCAGCAGGTGTCATAGTACGACTTTCATATGCAATTGGAGAAGACTTATCCCACTCTTTCCCTTGGAATAGCGCTGCTCCCAATCCATGACCACTGGCATCCGTGAAAAGCCAGATTGGTTCTTCCGACTCGTAGTCAAGCGTTCTCAGGACCGGCAGGGTTGTCATGATGCGCTTTATGTTCTCGAAAGCATTGTCCTCAGCTTTACCCCATCTGAATGGCTCGTTCTTCCTCTTTGTACTTGTCAACGGTGAAAGTGTTCCTACATAATGTGATAACCCATCCACGAATTTCTTAAGGAATTGTACGGTACCTAGAAATCGTAAAAGTTGTTTTTGAGATGATGGTGTTTTCCATTTTGAAATCTTCTCGACTTTTTCTTCATCCGGACAAACACCGTCTGCGCTAATCTCGTGACCCAAAAAATTGATTTTTCGTCAAAACAATTTGCTCTTCACCGGTGAGCAGTAGAGTTTTGCTGCTCTGAGCCGTTCGAGAACTCTACGTACGTGTTCCTCGTGTTCTTCTACCGAGTCTGAGAACACCACGACGTCGTCAATGTATACAACGCAGATGGTGCCTATCAATTCACCTAGTGCTTCCTCTACCCTCGCTTGGTGGGTTGCAGGTCCGTTGGTCAATCCCATGGCCATGACCATCCACTCGTACAATCCGAATGGCGTCTTGACCGCTGTCAAAGGGATGTCTTCCTCACGGAGCCGTGTCTGGAAAAAGGAGTTGGTTTGGTCAATGATCGAAAAGATCTTCCCTGTCCCTACCAATCGGACTGCTGCATCCACGTTCGGCAGTGGTGATCTGTCTTTTACGGTGTACTTGTTCAATTTCCGGTAATCACATACCCAACGAGGCATGGCCGCAGGATCCTTCTTCGGGATGATCATCGAAGGTGAGGCATATTGACTGGTTGATCGCCGAATTCTTCCCGCTGCCACGTGCTGATCGATCAACTTCTTCCATGCTCCTAAGTATTTCTCGGGGTAAGCATATTGTTTTTCGTTAATCACCACATTCGGGTCAGTCAAAACAATCTTATGACGTATTTTCGATGTTTCATTCTGCCCTTCAGGTGGAATGAAATCATCCTCCTCATCTGTCTCCACAGCTGGTAATTCTTCTGGGAACAGGTCAGCAAACTCCTTGAACACTTGTTCCTCTCGAGCGGACAACTCTCGACTCTCTTTCACTTTTGATAAATTCTCCATCACACACGCGATCATTGCTTGACTCAGTTGACATTTGATATCTTTCATTTCAGCTTCTTCTCTCAATACAGTTCTGGTAGGTACATGTTTGACAGTGCGATCGTGGAGCGAGACGTCAAGATGAAACTTCTCCAAGAATGGAGTACCTAAAATCACATCGAACCTATCTCCGAGCGGTGCGAGCTTGAAGAAAGTTGATCCAAAACGTAGCGCGGGTTCATGAGCTGCCACGTTCGCAAAGCAGAACTCTTTGAAGAGAAAGGATTTACTATCACCACTATCGATCGCTAACCGTGCTTCAACGGGAGCCACCAGTGGGCGTCTTGGTATGTGCGCTTGTTTGCTCAGCCGATCCGACATTAAGTTCGTTTCTGCTGCACAATCAATCAGAGCACGACACATAACACCGTTGATTTTCAGTTTCAAGATGATCGATTTAGTCCGAGAGGAAGGTAGGTACGCGTACCTTGGGTCTTCCTTTTCCTCGGCTAAGTGTGCCACTAAGACTCGATCAGCTTCTTCATAGCGTGCGATGTCTTGAGCGAAGAGATCTGGGGATCCTTGAGTCTCGTTTTCTCGAATGCTTGCTATTAAGTTTGATGATGTGGTTTGTCGACCCGCGGGTTTAATTGTCAAGACGCCAGGCGGACCCAGTTGTTTGTTTGGGACGTTCGCCGTTGGTCGGATCCAAGGGTTGATGTTGGTCTCTTGGCGTCGCGTTGGTCGGGGACCAGGGTTGAATGAGTCTGGTACACTCACAAATGGTCCTCTTGCTGGACCTCGGCATTGAGAGTTGCCGCACTGAGTTCGGCAGTATCCACATAAACCTTTCTGTCGCATGAATTCGTGATAGCGCCAAGCAGCTTCTGCTCGCTGGTCTGGGGTACGTGTGTCAGATCCTGAGTTGTTGAACGGTTGGGATGATCGTTGTGGTGGCTGTTGGTTCGTCATGCTGGCGTATGGTCGTGATTTGACGTGCGGGACTAAGTTACTAGCTTGGATCACATCCCAGACGTTACTCGCTGCTGAGATGAATGGTAACATTTTGAAATCCTCCACTTGAAGAAGGTTGCGATCTTTAATCCAGCGTTGAAAGACATCGGGGGTACCCCAAACAATATATTCCGCCAAGTTTCGGGGTGAGAGATTCGATTGCACCTGGACCATGTTGTACAAATCACGGGCTCGTCCTACATAGCTTTTGAAATCCTCGTTGACCCCCATTTTCAGTTGTCTGATCGCCTTTTCCGTGTCTTGTAACCATCCCGTCGGTAAGGTTTCCACAGCGAGCTCTTTCATGATTTCATCCCATGTCAAGTCTTTGAGGTCTGAAGCCGAGTTTACAAACCACGCTCCAGCTCGTGGCTCAACTAGGACCGAACCGAGAATGATGCGACGTTCGTTGTCGTCCGTCACATTTTTGAGCGTGAAGTATTGCTCGATAAGGCGTCGCCAATTGAAAAGCGCAGCAGGATTCTCCGTCAGGCCGTTGAATTTCGGTACCTCTGATATCTTGATGGTGCTTGCTGACACCTTTTGAATTGGTCCATCATCGGCTTCGTCAACTAGGCTGCGGTGAGGCGATTGGATTGAGACCCTCCTTACGCTTTCGCGTAAGTTTGCGGTAGCGTTCGGTGAAGACATGGCGGGATGTGCTTCGTCGCCTCGTTCCAGTGGAGCAGGTCGAGGTCTAGATGCGGAAACTGGTCCCGTGATTGGTCTGTGATCCTCCGCAGCGTCGTTAAACTGACTTGCCCTTGGGCCTAACGGGGTGGGGGTGTTAAGGTTATCCTGATGAGATGCCAATAAGCCGAACGGGTTTTGTGAACCTCCACTGTTTCCGGTTCCTGGAGATTGGGATTTCACCAACTGCGAGATGGTTGCTTCGAGTGCGTCGAGACGTTGCCGGTCTGCCGTTGCTGCCGCAGCTTGAGATTGAAACGCTGCATTTTCTTCCTCGAGCTGTCTCATTCGCTCGTGGAGGGCCTCGATGATTTCGTCTTTAGAACGGCGCTCCTCAGGATCCTTACCTTTGACGGTATCGGCATCTGAGGATCCTCCGCGGGACGCTGGCATCGGCGTATAGATAAAGCTACCCGGGACTATTGGTGTAAGGGTCGTGAGAGATTCTCGGACAATCTGAACGTCGGGAGTGTTTGTTGGTTCCGCTAATGAATGCGATGACGAGGGCAGTATGGTCCGAATGGTTTTGTCAGGCGTGTAATCGTGGTCTGCTTGGGGTTTCCAGTTGTAACGAGGCGGTGCAGGGGCAGGAGGGGATTCGGCAGGTTCTGATGGTCGTTGTCGGCGTAAGAAGCTCTCGGGATTGGCAGAAAAGTTCGAAGGCAAATTAAAGGGCATAGGGCCCTAAGTGTCGATTGGCGAGGATGTCAAGGTGTCAAGAGTCGCAAGGATATTCAAGAAGAGAAAAAGGTAGGAGTAGTAGAATAAAAAAGTGTAAGACTCTCGTAGGAGAACCTTCACTAAGGTTTCAACTCAGTTCTCACGGTGGTATTCAACCACGGAAAGCTATTCTAGAACTCGGTTATATTACCATAAACTAGCTAGCTCCGGTCAGGGTTCGTGAGGAGCAAACAACAATCAGAACAACATCAAAATAAGAGAGAAAGATACAGTCGTTTTCAAAAAGCTTGTCACAAATTCACTGCCAAATGATCCCAAATCGCTCGAGTTTTGCGGGCAAATTTGGACAAGCTTTTTGCAAACGACTGTAAGTAGAAAGAACTGAAAAGGGATCTCGTACCTAGCTCCGGTCAGGGTTCGTGAGGAGAAAGGGAACCCGACGTGGAGCCAGATGATTCATCTAAACTATGTAGTGTGACCTATGTAAAGCCATGATGTAATAACCCTTACAGAATGTACAGAAATCACATTGTATGAAATGTGTTTGATATGTGATTTACAAGCATTCTAGAAATTACAGAATGCTTTCAAAATTTTCTCATCACATTTCAAGAATTCTATTAAAGTCCATTCTTCTACAACAAAATCATGTTTTGTGATTTCTTTTGATGCTTTTATTTCAAAGCTTCTTTTCTGGAATTGGACAAGTTCTTTTCTATTGTACAGATCTTGTTGAATTTGTGACTATCCCCATTCCAATGTACAGAATAGCATAAACCCTTTAAGAGCATCCAGTATTGTCAGTGTGGATGGCCTTGGTATGGTAGATTAACTGTACCAAGCTTTGAAATTCCTATTTGTTTCCAATGTACAGATTGGTACATACCTAGAATCAATCAAAAATCTGCAAAGGTCCAGCTAAACTTACTAGGTACCAAATTGGTACATATTGGCAAGTCTACTGAACTTTACCAAGCTGTACACCACCCCTGGCCCTACTTCCAAAAATCAAAGTTTGTTTAAACTTTTGCTTTTTTGGTCTCAATACACAACCTAATTTTTTTATCTTGATTCTTGACATAAGTATTAAACATCTTCTTTTTTTGTGTAACTTTTACATCTTTAATTTTATGCTGTTTATTGGTTTTATTTAGGTTTCTTGTTTTCAAATTAATTGTTTTCAAAATGCTTGTTCTCAAATCATTTTTTTAAAAATTATTTTCTTTCAATTTGATTGTTCTTTAAATGATTGTTATTTGAATTGATTGTTTTGAAAATCATAGGTTTCAAACTAGTGTTTGGTCTCAAACTTCAACCTATTTTGAGCAACGACAAAAAGTCTTTGCTGCTTTTAAATTGGAAGTTTCTTTTACAGAAAGAATGATATTGGGACAGATTCTTTTCTGTACACCTCCCCACCCCTAGGATTCGTAATCATCGGGTTTGCAACAGGCCCCACCGCTGCAGAACTTGAATGATTACGTAAACCACTTGGAGGGGACTGTACAGTATCTTGAAACAATAGTGGATTTCCATGTTCCTTTACTTATTGTGAAATCTGTATTGTGAAACTTTTACTGAAATTCTGCTGTAATGATTGTGGATCCTCTTAATGATCTTCTGAACTCCACTTGACTCAAGCAAAACTCAAAATGCATTGATCTGAAGATAGAGGTAACACTGCTGGCAAAGATGCCTTGGATTGTAAAATCCAAGGTATCCTTGGGTATACATTCCCACAGACTGCACGTCTGAGGAATTAATGCAAGGCTTTATTTGCCCTTGAAGATTGCCTCAGATCATTTACTTGGACATTGCATCCAAGGCTATTGCCATCCGAGGATACCTTGGATTTTCCAATCCAAGGCATCTTTGTTGGCAGTGTAATGATGAAGTGTTCATTGAGCTGTCAAAAGGAAATCAATCAAAATCAAAACCAGCCTCTGAAAAGCCAATCAAAGTTAAAGATAAGAACACAGATCAAGCCATCAAATTCAAAAAATAATAAGATAGATGGAAAAAGAGAATGCTCCAAGTGCTTTATAATCCACTCATCAAGAGACTCTGCATCTTATTGATAAGTTCAAGCATTGAAAATATTTTTGAAAGAGAGAATGATGGTGGTCTGGTCTCAAGACAGATGTATAGAAGGAGGATTTAATGAGCAGCTGCAGACAATAAAAAGAGAGTCTGTCAAGATTGAAGAACCATATATTAAACTTGTAATAAAATTCTTTACATTCATCATTTGCCTTCCTACACTTTTGAGTCTTCCCTTCCTTTGATCTCTAGTCTCTGTTTCCCTTGATTTTGCTCTGGATTTCCAAGTGATGCAAGACTGACAGGTTTCAGGCTCCCTAAACTACATCAAATCAGTGTGGATTTAGGGTTTCATAGGTCTTGAGCCAAAAAAGATTCCAAGTGGTGCAGAACTTACAGGTTTCAGGATGCTCAAAATTACACCCAATGTGTGTGGATTCAGTGATTGACAGGATTCAAGCCCCAATAAACCATTCTCCATGTCATCAAATCACATTTTTCTTCATACTCACACTTGCTGTAATTATTTGTTTTATACACTCATTTGTCTTGCTTTTATTGCTTTTATAAATAGTTTAAATTGACTTATAAGGCTTTCAACAAGATTGTGGACTCTTCTGTTGCTCCTGGGGTCAACAATGCAAGTGGCAAGGTTCACACTGGTAGTAGTAAGGACGGGTGTGATCATTGGATCAAAGTAGTAAGTGCGCTGTGTCATCCATCCCAGTCATATTTTATCAATGCTGATATCTGCTTCATAGGTTGGGAATCATGTGGTGGGTGCGGGTTTTGAATTTGGGGCATTCCCGGGCGCGGATTTTGACCGCTCCAAAGGCACACCTATAGTGGAGGCGCAGAGGTGTGCCTCTGAGGTGTCAAAATCTCCCCAAAGATAAAAAAAAGGTAAAAAATTGCTCAACAACAACAGAAATCATATCTTTTGTATTTCATAACAGTAATTCTGCACATATCATGAACAGTCATTGAAGTAAATCATCAAAAAAATCTTCCTCATCCCAGTGTCCATTCTCAGATCCCTCATCTAAAACAATAGTGACAGGTTGTTCTGCTTCAACTCTAATATTGAATAATGTTAAATCAAAGAGGGTGTCTATAAAACCACTCTTAGTAGTATCCTCTATTCCTTCTCCCTGATCCACCTCATCTTTGCCATGAATTCTATTTTCAAACTCTTGAACTTGGTCAAGATTTTCAAATTGAGGATCTAAACCTTGTGTTTCATCAGTAGCAGCAGTTTGATTGGTATTATTGGTCGGTCTGGGCTCACAATTCGGTTGCTTGGATTCAATATCCATCTCAATTTGAGACATCATCTTCAATCTCGAGACATTCATACAAGGTCACAACTTTGTCTGTTGAGAACCCATCCGTGAAAAGAGGCTTTCAACACCCGCAGCGTGGGGTACAATTTCTAAGAGCTTGATGGCAAACAATTTGAGCTCTTGAGTCTGTGGATTAGCTGGTAATTTTAAACAATAACTTGTCACAGAAGAATCTAAACATCAATCAAGATCAATTAGTTTATTATGTGATGTTTAGAAATGAGAGATCACAACTCACTATTTGCAGGTATACAAAATGGACCATATGAGTTGTAGTTTTGTAGAATTGATTACATGGTCAGCTATTCTACATGGCTTTCCATCCATTGTAGCTTTACAGTGCTGAAATTGAGCGCGGCAGCGGTTTGTTGAACTGTTGGTGTTGGAAGACATCAAAAAGCCCGTCCATTGCTTGCCAAAACCAGTGGTGGGTTGGATCCAATCAGCTGACCTTGACACAGAGGATTTGACTTTGGGCATGATGCAGAAGCATATGTGGTGTTACTGTAGTTTTGGGACTTTTTTAAAGGATTTTGACAGGGGAAATCTGGAAACTGACGGTAAAACTTTCCACCTGTGGCACCCATCTTATGCAACAGCTGAGAGGAATTTACCTGCCCTAACTTGGGCATGCCTACCCCAAATTCGGGCTTAAAGGGCCTCTTTTGTGCTGCGCCCACCATGTGAGTCAGGAAGAATGAAACAAAACCAATCCAAACCAATGGTTTTCCAGCATATGAAGCTGTATCACAAATCATGGCCAAGAAGCACTGACCAGCCAATGGTAAAGAAGGTCCAGGAACTCAAATAAAAGCAAACATGGATATCTTGCCCTCAAGCAATGATTCATAGAAGGTAAGTCCTGTCATCTCATCTGAATACCATCTACTTTAATTTGAATCAACTGATTTATTATAACTGTGTTTTATCCCATCAGAAGCAGATCCAAATAGAGATCAATCTCAATCTCACATTTCCTGTTCAGCAAAGGATTTGGACCCCAATGAGATTCAGGTCATAGGCCCCCTTCTTCACACAATAACAACAGCACTGTAAGAATTTGTTTCTTCTTTTCTTTTCTTTTCTTTCAATCCTTTTCAATCCTTTTCAATCCTTTTCAATCCTTTTCAATCCTGTTCAATATTTTTGATCATTTGATTCTTCTTTCCTTTTTATTCTTTTCAAATTCATCATATAACCCTTCTATTCACCTTACCAAGATCACAAGCACTAGATAAGAAGACAAAATTGACAACTCAGAGAAGAAATGTGTACACAGCAAAAGGAGATCAACCAATTCAGGACTCTCAACTTTGACTGCAAAGCAATCACACACTGGAGGAACAAAATTAGGAGCTGAATCAATTGATCAAGTGCTTGAGAGAGTCTAACTCGAATCTGTTGGAATAAATCCATATTACATGTCTTGTTGTATTTCTTTTTTTATTTTATCATTTAATTACATTAACACTAATCCTACATGTAAACTGTTACTCACAACATTTTGTTTCAAAACTTAAAGCTAACCATGAATTGTTTTGCACAATAGAGTACTTCATACCTCATAGTTCTGATAACTTTCTTTTTCTTTTCTTCATCACTTTAGAAAGTTTT